ATCCTGGGGTGCCTGAGGAAGAGTGTTGCCAGCAGGTGGAGGGCGGTGCTCCTCCCCGTCTCCTCAGCCCTGGTGTGGCCACATGTGGAGTAGTGGCTCCAATTCTGGGCTCCCCAGTACGAGAGAGAGAGACAGGACACTGCTGGAGAGAGTCCAGCGAAGGGCTCCTAAGATGATGAAGGGACTGGAGCATTTCTCCCCTGAGGAAAGGCTGCGAGAGCTGGGCCTGTTGAGCCTGGAGAGGAGAAGGCTGAGGGGGGATCGTATCAATGAGTATAAGTATCTGGAGGGAGGATGTCAAGAGGACGGGGCCAGACTCTTCTCCGTGGTGCCCAGCAATAGGACCAGAGGCAACGGGCACCAACTGAAACACAGGAAGCTCCATCTGAACATGAGGAGAAACTTCTTTCCGGAGAGGGTGACTGAGCACTGGACCAGGTTGCCCAGAGAGGTTGTGGCAGCTCCATCCTTGGAGATATTTGAAAGCTGTCTGGACACAGTCCTGGGCTACGCGCTCTAGGTGACCCAGCTTGAGCGGGGGTGAGGGGGTGGACTAGATGATCTTTAAGGTCCCTTCCAATCTCAACCATTCTGTGAGTCTGTGAAGATGGTGACCTGTAAGGTTATTCATATTTATTACAGTCACACATAAGGGCCTTGGGCCTGCTGTGGCAGTGCTTTATAAGCACAGAGTAGCAGATGGTCCCCGACCTGCATGTTTTTGCCTCTTTTGGAAAGCTGTTCCTCCCTTCTAGGAACCACATCTTATTTCATGGCTGACACTGACACATCTTGGAGTCCAACTGCCACATCTCCTCTGTGAGACTGAAACTCCCTCATAGCAGGCTTCTTTTTCAGATATGAGTTCACATATGTAGAGACTGAACCACTTCTCAAGCTCCTAGTAATAAACTGATCAGGTGGATACTTGTTTTGTATAGCTTTTTTTACAGCCCTAGCAGCATTATTTTGACTTTTTCTGAATTTTCTCCAGTATTTCCATGTCCTCTTCCAAACAAACAGAGGTGGGCCCAGGATTCCAGCAATGGTGTGTAGAAAACCAAGAACCATTTCTGTCACTTCTGCTCAATAGTCCCTTTGCACATGGAGAAGCCTGTAGCTACTGTCATAGCTGCGAGATTATGTTGAGAGTTCATGTGGCAGTGATTAGTCCTAATGGCTGGAGCCCTTCCATCATTAACTTCTTACAAGAGAGTTTCACAACCTGTAGATGATGCTTTCACTCTGGGCTTTCATGGGGTTAATTATAGAGGTATGTAGTAGCATGTACACAGCAGAAGTATGACAGAAGCTTACCTTGTGGGCTGCTTCTTTACCCCAAAAGGTTTTGTTTCCTGCACTTCACCCACACCGGGAACTTGGTAAGGGGAATTTTTTTTACTGCTTGATTCTCCACCCCATGAGGAAGAGAAGATTAGGGAGAGACTTTTCAGTAAAGCTTCAAGATCTCAATTTTGCTGAGGCTCCTTTATGCTCATGGACTCAGCTGGTCTGAGACAAAACAGCATGAAGCTTCATCTCCATGCAGCCCATTCCTCCAAATCCTCTTGCAACCAAGATTAAAGTAGACTGGCCACATCGTCACTCCACTTTACAACACTTTAGCAGGCTGTCGCTGAAGGACTGGACAGTAAAAAGGAGACCTAGGCTAAAGCTTGTGATCTGGCACAGAAATCCCCAGTGCGCTCCTCTTTCTGCAGCCCATTAACTTCATCTAGACTGCAATTTTTGGGCGTGGGAGCTATCTTTTTCTATAGGGTAACACCTGTCTAAATGAGCTCCCTGTCACCAATTTAACACATGCTGCTGAGAGTGAAAGCCTAGCATAGCCCTTTTCCCTTACAGTGCAAAACCTCTTCAGTGTCAATTATCAGAATAAATTGTCAATACAAAAAAAAATTAATAGTTATTTCCCACTATGTGCATGCATTAAGCAGAGTATAGGATCCAGTTCCCCATGGCCCAGTCATGCTTGGCAATGGCTGGAAAAGGAAAGAGAGGCCCAGAGAGGCAAGGTGACTTGACTAGGCTGGCAGAAGGCTCCTGCACAGTGTCACTGCTGCTCTACTACTGCCAGGGAGAGAGCCACTGGGACACAGCCCACTGGTCACTGATCCCACTGCAGAGCCCACCAAGACTGCAGGCTTTGTGGCCTCTTGAAAGGCTCTTATGAAACTCGACGATCCGGGTAGCCCAGAAGAAAGCAACAGCCGTTCTGGAGACTATTTTCAGCCCAATTCTAAGGACATGCACACAACACACATGCTCGGGAACTCAGGAACTGGTGTGGAGCTATGCTGCCTTTCCTGGAAAATCCCCAGCACACAACAGTCTTTAGGTGCGAAGATTAATAATCAGTCAGCAACAGAAAAATACAACCCTACAGGCAGCCAAGCATTGCCTGGAACACCAAGTCCAAACTGGGCATCTTGGTCCTCCCTTCTAACAGCGCACAGAACTGTTAGGGAGGCAATAAGGTCTCTCCTGTCCAGTCTGGAGACCGAAAATAAGAAGGCAAAGTTATTTATCTAGATGGGACTTTTGCCAGGGCTTGGGGAGGGCCATCACTCTTTTGGTGCAACCAACACTAATCTTTCACAAATGGGAGTGTCAGATCACTGGGCTCTTTTTTCTCCTCTCACTGCTGGGAGATGCAGCAACATAGCATATACTCTCAGCCCTACACAATAATAGCATTTGCTCCAGAACTGACTTCTGCGAAAATCACAAAAGACACCAAAAGATTCTTATATCATTGGGTTTCCTCTGGATGCTTCACATGCCAAACCTGACTTCCCTTACTCCCTTATCTACTGCCAAATCTCAGTGAAATTACAAGCTCAGTACAAAGTGAGACTACCTGGGAAAGAGCCATTGCTGCAGGAGGTCCTTGTTTACCTCTGTTATACGCTTGGCACAAACCTCGAAGCCATGACACCACTTTCCAGGATCTAAGAGCAATCAAGAGATCTAAGAGCAATGCAATCAAGAGAAGTAGACCAATCAAGCATACAGGTACAAGGCCATCATTTGTTTCCTCAAGGAGGAAACAAGGAGGAGATTCAAAACATCTCGCTTCAATGGTCCAAGTCTTACTTGGCAGCTGTGGAGTACGGATGGCATATTTTTAGGTATTACCACAGTGAGCATGCATTCTATTTTAGAGAACAGCATTGGACTTGCTTAAATGGTCTAGTGACAGTCTTCCCGCTCTGTCACTTGCTTTAGGTTCAGGATTGATTCACAAGCCAATTCACCCTGCTTGTGAGTTCTTGCCTTCCTTGTGCTCTTGAAAGAGGGATGGACTGAAGGATACAGCGGATATTATTTCTCTCTGATTTCATCCATCCTAAGACAATACCGACTGTTATACCCCTAAGTAATGCAGACCAAAAAATTTTACTCCCATCAAACCCAGAATTTCTTGCTGAGCTGAATATATCCTTTGGACAGAAGCTTCAACCGATGAATTCAGCTCCTCCTGAGGACAGGGCTATGCTAATAAAACAGCACACTTAGTTTTTTGTCCCAGTTTGCATGACACATCTCCACATCCCTAACTGCTAGAATAAAGAGTGCTCAGTTCCAGGAAAGCTACTTTTCAAAAAGGTGTTCATGGACAAGCTCAATCACATTCATACTTTTCTCTTTTCTGAGCTAAGCTAAGTTTTGGTAGCTACTCCAAATAAATAATAAGCAACAATGCAATTAAAATGATTATTTTTTGAAAAAAACAAACAAAAAGCCCTAGAGAATGCTGTCATGCTGGCTATTTCCACATAGGCTTTCAAATTGAAATTAAGCATTTTTCTTTTTCTAATTTTATTTTAACTTGTTGTTTGCTTTTTCTGACTAACTGTGAGCTCTCTTCCACACCAGAACATAGTTCCTGTACCAAGGATTTTCTAAAAGTCACTAGACAATACAGATCATATAGCAAATGTGCTTCTTGGATCAATTCATGCTATGCGCTCTTTGCATGTTCTGTGTCTGACTTCAAAGAAGGATGTTGTCTGTAGTGATAGAAATGAAGAAAGGGAAGATATCTATCACAACTGCTTGAGCGTACTGTGTGAGAAGGGGCAGCATGGAAGTATTCACAGACACCAGAGGATGAAAAGGTCACCCCAGGACTGGAGAGTTGAGAATCACTGAGTGAAGACATTCCCATAGTCAGAACAGTTTCTCAGCACCTTGATGCTCTCTCAACACAGAGAGTGTCAAGCAGTGGCACGTACTGAGATTCAAATAAGGGTGAGATGTGCCCAAAACAGTGGAATAAGATAAATCTCATGGCAGCACTGTGACCTGAGAGCGGGGGAAGCATGGGGGATAGATGACAGCTGGTGAGAGCTCATCACAAAGGACTGAATGCAGAAGAGATGCATGAGGAAGGTCAGGGATCTGGGAACTAAATTGAGACCCCTCTCCTGACACTTCAGCCTGGACACCAAAGCCTGACCAGACCTCTGGGACCCGTCC